GAATTAGCAGTCTTTCTTCTAGGGTAATGTATCCAATGGTTGTTTCTTGTGGGTTTCTTCCTCCTGGTGTGAAACTGGTGAGGTTTTGGCAAGGCTTCATCTTCTTGGTGTATTGGGATTTCTTTGTAAGGAATTGTATGTTTTTGATTATGTCACATCAGTTTCAGGCACATAGACCGAGCAGCGGTTCTGCTTGTTGAGTTTTGAATCCTCCGGTTCTTGGTCTTTTCGTTTGGAATGTGAAGCAGCAACGACAAGTCGTGGTTTGGGTGTAGAAGTGGAGGTTACCAGATGGCGTGCTATGGGCAGCAGCGGTTACTTATGTTCATTGGCCTTTGCTTAGTTTTGAAGATTGCTAGTCAATCTCATGTATATTATCAGTATGTTTGGTTCTAGTAGTGATGTAGATTTTATTCTATCCTTAGTGTGGGGTTTTAGTTGCTGCTTATATTACAACATTTGAGGTAGTTAGTGTCATCACCAAAATAATTTTAAGAATAAATAGATTAGTCTTAATAGTCTATGTGAATATATACTTATTTTTTATTAAACTAACCACAAAATCTACTAAAAAGTCAATTAAGTGACTTTTACTTTTGTATTGGTGAAATTTTAAGGATTGTTATAATATGCTTGGTTGATGACTTTTATTTGATATTTCTTTTCATAAAATCTTAAAAGTAACTCTAGAACTAATTAATACAAATACAAAATAACACAAGTTATAGTACAAATAATGATTTATGGTAACTAATTGCAAAAATTATAGAAAGCATACATAACGTTTTTCAATTTATTTATTTTTATCAACTATTTATATATAATTAGATAAAATACTTTAACATTTTTTATAGAAAAACTTGACTGGTTATATTTGTAGGTAAATAATTATTAGAACTTTTTATGTTTTTTAAAGTACACACCAAAAATGTTTACAATAAATCTTCACTATAAAAGCCTCCGATCATTGTATTAATCTTATTGGAGCTACACAAAAAAAGGGTTTGAAGGCTAGAATATTTTCGTTGTTTACGTGCTAAAATAAAACATAAAGTAATTTCAAAACCAATTATCTGAAGTAATTATATTTAATTTTTGTAAGAATTTTGTTTAACTACTTAAACATAAAATTAAAAGTTTAATATTTCTAATTATTATTCAAAATATTATAGCATTGTAACATAATGTATATTTTTCATATAATATAACTTCCCACAAAATTACGGGCAAAAACCTAGTTTTAACAAAACGAAGTGTTAAAAAGTTATATTGTCTTGCATTCATAACACATTAAGAAAGTAAATCCTGGAAGGTTATCTACAAAATCAAAGATTAGAAATGTAAGATCAATCCATAAAGACCCTTCCTCCCAAGTAAACTCATAAACAAGAGATCAGTAGACTACAAAAGGTGTACTGAAAAACAGCGTGACTATATCAAGTGTTTTTTATTTGGACCTTTGAGAAAAATTACTTAATGTTCAGTACAAGAATATCAAAACACAGAGCCTACCTCTTCACACATTGCTTCGCTTCCCAGATAAGCGTATACTAGATATATTACTAATGGAGAGGCTACTGATGAGGATAGTAAGGTTGGTAGGTTGTAATCCATATCCACCATAAACGGTCTGCTGCATATAGTAGACAGCCTCGCATCAGCCGTGTAACTCGTCATCTACCTTCCACCTTTCAGGTCAGGCAAACTACCTGACGTAGCTTTGCATTTAACGTTTCCTTTGGAATCGATAACCGTGACAAAAGTGTTGTTCCGCAGCAGTTTGATATGGATGATATCAGCGTTGGTCTCTAAGTTAGGTCGATGGAAATGAGAGAATAGCCCTGAGAAGGCTCGGCCCGTTACGGAAGCAAAGGAAGCGGTAGCTTAGGGCCTAAAATTTTATGGGCTGAGTTAAAGTTACTTTAATTTGAATATTTATTTATTTTAGTCCAAAACTTAAATTGGTCGTCTCCTTCTTACGGTTCCGTCGTCTCCTGCATCAAACGTAAGGGTTTTGACTTTTACAAACAAATCGTGCTTTCATTAATCAATTATTTGCTGTAAGACTTTTTCTTCTCTTTCTTTTAGTTTTAGTGAATATTAGATTTTTTTAGAAAGAATCCAACAAGGCAAAGAATTTTCGTTTTCTAACCTTGAGCTTGACGATTGAAAAGGATCTTTTGTCCGTAGGATTCTTATTAGATGCTAGTCAATTAAGATTTTATTATTAGTTTAAGCTATGTGACCATGTGAGCTTTATAAACTATTTTATTGCAATTTTGATATTATTATATGTGATGCTAGAATAGAAAATACAATCTAAATCAAACTTTTTGTTCTTTGTTAATAGAAGAATGGCACCAAGAATTAAATCGCAACTCAGTGGAGCTGAGAAAAGAAAAAGAAAAAAGATGCAAGAAGAATCAATGAGACAACCAACCAATGCTATCTTCAAGTATATAAAGAGAAAACCTGCAAACTCTGGAACTGATAACATTGGAGGTACACAAGGAGAAAATAATGAAGAAACACATGTAGATTCAGAAAATGATGTGGCTGATTTAGATGTTGATCATGAGGATGTGGTCCATGATGATGAGTTTGACAACAAAGAGCAGGATGAAGTTGTTAGTGAGAAGAACAAAAGCGTGCAAGATGAAGAACTCCCCACAGATGCTTTTGATCCAGGTAATTGGGGAAACATTGATATGACATTAAGAGATTTGTTGGTTGAGAATGGTCCAACAACAAGGCTACCAACTAATTATCAGTTTCCTAAGGACAGCATTGGTAGACATTTTTCTCAAGCATTTTATATGAGGGAGTTGATAAATGGAGAGAAGCAAGATAGAAGGTGGTTAATTTACTCAAAATCTGTAGACAAAGTCTTTTGCTTTTGCTGTAAGTTGTTCAGACATGATAAAAGAGGAGGTTACTTGACAACTAATGGTTATAATGATTGGAGAAACCTTTCAAGCGACTCAAAGAACATGAAGGCAGTCACGATCACATTGTTTGTCTAACTAGTTGGACAGAGTTAGAATTAAGGCTTCACAACAATCAAACAATTGATAAAAATGCCCAAGAAAAAATAAACAAAGAGAAGAATCATTGGAGAGAAGTACTTACGAGGATATTTGCATTGGTGAAGACTCTAGCTAAAAACAATTTAGCATTTCGAGGAGATAATGAGAAGATTGGCCAAGACAACAATGGAAACTTTTTGAGTTTTATCGAGATGATTGCAGAGTTTGATCCAGTGATGAGAGAGCATATAAGATGAATCGGTGCATGTGCGATATACTCTCATTATCTAAGTCACAAGATTCAAAATGAGGTGATATCTATGTTGGCTAGTGAGATTAGGCTTATGATCGTAAAGACGATCCATGCTTCCAAGTACTTCTCTATACTTCTTGATTGTACTCCTGATATTAGTCATAAGGAACAAATGACTTTAATCATCCGATGTGTGGATATTTCTTCAGTGTCAACCAGTATTGAAGAATTCTTTTTGACATTTCTGAAAGTGGACGATAAATCAGGAGAAGGGTTGTTCACTACGATTCAAGATGCGTTGGTTAGCTTTGGGTTAGAGATTGATGATGTTAGAGGACAAGGTTATGACAATAGATCTAATATGAAAGGAAAACATAAAGGAGTACAAAGAAGGTTGTTAGAACTTAATCCAAGAGCATTTTACACACCATGTGGGTGCCACAGCCTTAATCTCGTGCTTTGCGATATAGCATCTTCTTCCACAAAGGCAATGTCTTTTTTGGAATTATTCAGCGAATATACTGTTTGTTTGCATCGTCTACAAACCGGTGGGATATATTCGAAGAGATGGTATCAGGTTTAACACTTAAATCTTTATCACAAACTCGTTGGGAAAGTCATCTTGAATGTGTCAAAGCAATTCAATTCCAGGCTCCTGAAATTAGAGAGGCTTTGCTATGCTTGGCTGAAAGTACCAATGATCCTAAAACACGAAGTGATGCTGAATCTCTTGCATTGAGTGAATCACATGGGATTGGAGGGTTCGAGTTTCTTTTTGGTATGATTATTTGGTATGATCTTCTAGCTGCCGTGAATAGAGTGAGCAAGATTTTACAATCAGAGGACATGGACATTGATGTGGCCATTGCTGAACACAGGGGACTTGTTTCCTATTTTCGAAAATATAGAGAGACGGGATTTGAAAAAGCAAAGTCTGAGGATGTACAAATTGCAGAGGAAATAGACATAGAAGGTGGATTTTCTGTGAAAAAGAAGAGGATCATTAGAAGAAAGAAACATTTTGATGAAGATCCAGAAATAGAGGATGAAAATATGGAATTATCACCGGAGGATGATTTCAGAATTAATTACTTCTTCACACTCATGGTTCAAGCTCTAGTTTCTCTTGAGTCAAGGTTCGAACAATTCCAAAAGTATGAAAAAACTTTTGGTTTTTTGTTTGATTTAAAGAAACTCACAAGTGATGAAAGTTTAAGAGTATCGTGTTTGAATCTTTAATCTTCTCTGAAGCATGGTACACAATCTGATATAGATGGGGAAGCTTTGTTTATGGAGCTAAACATTCTTCGGGAATCATTACCAAACCAGGTTAGAAAACCTATCGAAATGTTGGATTTTTTGAAAAGAAGGGATGTATGTTATCCAAACACGTGGGTAACTTTCCGGATATTGTTGACCGTTCCGGTATCAGTTGCTTCTGCTGAAAGAAGCTTTTCGAAGTTGAAGCTAATCAAGAATTATATACGGTCTACCATGTCACAAGAAAGATTGAATGGATTGGCTATATTATCAATCGAGAAATCTATGCTTGAGAAACTCGATTATACAGTTTTGATGGATGATTTCGCAGGAAAAAATGCAAGGAGAATCATATTTAGATAGTTATTAGTGTCTTTTGTTTCTTTTGTTTGAGTTCTTTCTCAAAACGCTGGTTCTAGAGATCACACTCTGTTTTTTTTTTGTTTTGAGTAGGGTCTCTATTAGGCACGGACCGGCGCTGGCCCTGAGGCTCTCCGGCCTTCATCATCTTCTATGACTCCTCTGACAAAGTCCAGGTCTTTTGAAATCCCACCGCTGCTGCAGAAGTTATCTTTGGAAAACGTAGACTGAGTGAAGCTTTGGTAGCTCGGTGCAGTGGGAGCAGAGGACCCGCTTCCAACTGTGCTTGGTAAGCCTTGATCAGGTAGGGTGGTGTTTAGTAAGCGTGATCTCATGGGATTTTTGAATGTAGGACGAGACGAGCCTGATCTCATATCACTGGAAGTACTGAAACTGTTCCCTCTAGTGTTGAATTCAATAGACCTGCTTTTATTTCACTGAAGGATCCGGTAAGCCTGACTTGTTTCCAGAGTCTCCAGGAACTGGTCCTTGCTCTGTGGATCTCCCACTTGTTCAAGAAGCCATGAAAGACAAAATCACTCAATACAAAGCTGTTGCAAAAACTCAAAACCTCGGATCCAACTAAACGAGAGAAAACAAGAAAGCAAAATCGACTAGGGGAAAACGAAGGCGGAGCCAGCCACAAAATTTAATGGGGTCAAATCAGTGGAGCAGGTTAATTTCAAGTAAATATTACAGGGGTGGTCAATAGCATGTTATTTAGCCGAGATAACTCGCGACACATTTCATGAAACATGGGAAACATGGGATCACCTCTTTCGATCCAAATTATTCACTAATTCCAACAAGGTTTCATCAAGAAACCAGTTACACTGCAGCCAGTTTTAAAAGTAGAGAGGGAAACATATTTGAGTACACTGGGAGGAACACATCTAAACGGAAATAACAGGCTACTTATACGGTCTCCATGCAGCAAGGATACTTCATCCTCATCCTAGAGGATTAGCCACATGAAATGAGTCGTGAGTTATCTCGGCTAAATAACATTCCCATGTTTCATGTGGCTGAACCCACCATCTGAACTACGCTCCACTTAAGAGCTTTAGCCACATGAGAAAAAATGCCTATATCACTCATATTCCAGCTACGGAAAAACGTACAGCGACTAAGATCACCCCACAGAGCCTTTGGAGCGTCTATTTTAGATCAAAAACCAGAAAAGCGTGTTTAGATACAAAGTAAGGATCGAGAACACACCCTTAAGCACAGCAAATTATTGTTAGTTAAGGTACAAAACGTAAGAGACCACACCAAGATCACACGTGACAAAACCACATTTTGAAGACGGGATTCCGGTGTTACAAAATAACAATAAACAGACAAGGATACAAGAGGTTGTAGCCAATGACACCTCTCAGCCATCCAACCCACACGAATTTAATCCCCATTCTCTAGGAACATTGTGCCCATCTCTGCAGTTATAAGTGGAATACTCCAAATGAAAGGGTAGAATAACTATAATAGTCCAGCAGCATTCACATTGCCCTCAGACACCAAAAGGATATCCAGAGAATTATGAGGAAAATGAGTGGCAACATGGATATGCACGTCCAGAAATACGTAAGCCTCTTCCGAAACGAAAATTCTGGATATTGGAATCAGCCAATTTTACTTTTTGTAAAGCATCAAACACAAGAGGTTGTTTTGATGAAGAGAAAGACATTCAGGTCAACAAACTCATAAACCCTATCAGTTTTCAGAGTTAGGGGACCGTAAGCTTCGTAGATCTGAATGTCTTTACTCTCCATCATCCCAACCGCGCTTATCTGCAACGTTACAAAGCCACCAACCACAACTGGCTCTTTTGATAGAGAACTCTAACAAACATATAAGAACCAAACTCATGCCAAACACAGTAACACATTTTGCAAACGAATAAAAATCTGATGACTCATGAGAATCCAATTGTGGGATAGATTTAGTAGCTGAGAACGGAGAATATCCGCATCACACCTGTGGATCTATCCCCACGGTTGTCTGGCCGCTTACTGATTGAACAGCTATTCATTTACGCAACCTTGAAAATGGCCATGCCAACAGAACGAGGCATGACCTTCGATACAAGGTGCAAAACACATAACTCTAAACAATAAACAAAATAAATATAGAATAGATTTAGTAGATGAAACAGAGAAACATCTGTTCCATCTGTGGATCTATCCCAACGGTTGTCTGGCCGCTTGCTGATTTAACAGCTATTCCTTTATGCACTGTTGCTTAAAGATTATGCCATTCGATTTGACATAGCCTTCGAAACAGAGTGCGAATATTATATCGTTATCAAACCACCAAATGAATCAAAACATGATACTTTGCTATAAATTGTTAGACGTAGAACAAAACCCAAGGCCATCCCTTTTTTGGTTAAACCCGAAGCCATCTAAAAAGGAACTAAAGAACGATAAGCCCCGACACTGATTATGTGGTGGATATCGACAGAGCACTGCAATTTATACAAGAGAAACAAACTAGGGTTTTGAAAGAGGAGATGGCTTGGTTAAGTAAACCAATGTTTATAGTCACTCTGATGGGCTGTGCCAGTAAAGCCCATATATTTTATTTATTCGGGTAGGGTTCGTGATGGAGGGAGACGCCTCCTTAGAAAAAAAGATTTACATACTGGGCTAACCTATTCAAGCCCACATTCTTTTTAAGTCGGTTCGCGATTATGTCGATCAATTAAAAATGTTTTCTTTTTGAATTATAAAAACACAATTATCGTGAAACCCGAAAAAGAATGCTTAAAAGAAATAATTATTTTATTTTTTATTTTTCTGTTTAAAAAAAAATTAACAAACAACCAATCGCAGGGCACCACGTATTAGTAGGATCCGCGAAATAGTGCAAGCACTAAAAAAATATTGTGCTTGAATTGAAAACAGAAGCTTCAATGCTTGAGTTTTTTGTGGGACCACATGCATTAACCACCCCTTAAGTAACAGGGATAATTGTGCTCTAAGATCTTGGACCAAGTTCTAATGATAGTTACCACTATTATAAGATTCAGCGATAGGAGTGAGCTAGCTTCCGTATCCGTGCCTCTAGCAATCTCATGTTTGTATGTGCCTTAATTCTTTCTTTGTCATTACAGTTACCGTAAAAGTAAATTTTAAATATCATGTTTATATAGATTTTTTTACTCTCCAAGACATTTTTTAATTTAAATATTCATGATAAGTCACATTATACTTAAGACAACCTTTCTATCTACTTAGAGACATTGATGTTCTTACAGTAAATGAAACCAAAACAGACATCTATTTCCCTAAACCCAATCAAACCAAGACCAGATTACACCAGAAACCCTAGAATTATTATCGCATCTTCCTTCATTTCCCCTCGTTTTCTCACTTTTCCCAACAATTGCAGCAGAAAAAAAAATCCTAGTTCTAGACTCGTCGATTTCACGTGCCGATAAGAAACCTAGTCTTAAATCACTCCGACATGCGAGGTAAATCACTTCGAAATGAACACTTTCTGAATCTGGTTCCTTAAATTGTCTGTAAATGGTTCGATTGTCTAATTCACACCTTTCTCACCAGACAACCACTTTACGAGGATAGTCACACACTCTAGACAGTCTTCCGTAGCGATCCCATCCAGTTTGGACTTCAAGAGTTTGGCACAATCATAGGATTGCCATGTGGAGAGTTCCCTACAAACTACAACACTGAACTAGACGATCAAAGCAAAGTTATCAGATATCCTGACTGGATCAAGCTGTTCGGGAAGAAAAAAATTATTACCATTGCTAAGCTGCACCACAAGCTTGAGACCGACGTACGGATGCCAGGGTGGAAGAAGCTACAAATAGTTCTAATATTAATTGTTGACGGTGTTCTAATCGCTCATCAACAGAAGACACACCCTACTCTACGTCAAAATGGTCCAAAACGTCGATGCTTTGTGCCAACACCCTTGCGACAGGGAGTCTTTTCTAAAAACCATCAATTGCATGAAACCTCCCAATGCCCGCAAAGACCCTGTAGACACACTCTCAATAAGTCAACTTAAAGAACCTCATCGTCCTCTTCACTCGAACATTAACTACGTTGACATACTACGTGTGGAAGCAGAGGAGAATGTAAGAACCTCATTGTCCTTGTTTTTTTTTTTCATTTGCTTCTTCATCACAACTAGGCTGATACTTTATAGATATGTGCACAGGCTATGTTTGATAATTGTTTATGTATCTCAAATTTGTGCACTTGCAGCTTGTGGTAACATTACTGATACCAATACAAAGCCAAACATAACATGGATGGGGAGTTTGGCCCGATGTTGTTATTGATGACCGGGTAACGTACATGGAGAACCTCATAGCGAACAACCATCCTTTCAAGAAGCATCTTTGACCTGGGGGGACACAGGTCTTGGCCCATTCTAATATATGTATCTCCTAAGGAGCAACGAACACCGAAGATGATTGTTCTCAAACCTAGGAAGATCCTGAACAAACCATCATCGTCTCGTAAGCAGAGAAGGATCAGCAACTACTTCCTCAGTTCAACCAGCAGCTCAAACAATAAGGTTATCGAAATATTGACTAAAGTTTCTACCCTGGTTTCCAAAACTCTGAAAAGAGGACAAGGTGATGCGCTAGTTGATAAAACGCAGAAACTCTTGAAGCCACAGCAAGCGATCTTCTTTCCACTATGTCATTAATTGTTCTAAGAAAGCTCATTTATCACACAGAGGATGCCAGACTGGCTCTATGGACCAAACTACATATGTTCCGCCTAACAAAATGATACAAATATTTTTTTTTTCAAATTTACCAAAACAAATTCTGACTCATTTCGTCCACACATTGCAGTGTCTGACACATATGGAGGAAGACAAGCCTCACTGTAACTCTCATGTCGTCAACCAATATGCAGCTCAGTACTACGGTAAACCTACCAGCAAGTCAATTCTGTCACAAACTCCACACATCCCTGCACAACACCAACCCACATCACCAGTCCCCGTGTCCACTGAACACACATCCCCCGTCCACAACTCCTCTGAACACGCACCCCTTATCCACAACTCCCCTGAACACACATCCCTTATACACAACTCATTTGAACACACATCCCTTATCCACAACTCACCTGAACACACATCCCTTCTCCACAACACCCTTTAACACACCACTCATGTCCACAACTACCCTAAACACACCACCCCAAGCCACAACTTACCAAAATAGACCCCATTTGTTCCACCAGCTTCCCCTTCTGGCACACCTCTTGGTTGTACACTCCAGAGTCTCCTCCTAAAAGTTATCGTTCCTACATCTAGGATGTTCCTGATCATCCTAACAGCCCCCCCTCTTTCACCACCTCCTACAACAAGGTCTTGAAATCTT